TACCGCACCAAGCTTAGTTTGCCATCAGCCAGACCTCAGCTTTCTTACTTACAACCAGTCTAGTCAGTTTCGTTGCCCTTTGTGTTGAACTCAACATAAAGGAGGATGGGAACAAAACTAAAATTACCATTGGCATTGTCTCCACCTGCTGGAGTGCCTCTGTCATCTGCCCCAATGGGCACCAGATACAGCTTAGCAGAATAGCTCTTTAAGAAACAGAGAGGGAAACAAAAGCAGCTTCAGGGCCTTTAATACAAGAGCTATTGTCAGACTACTTCATCTCCTTCAGCCAACTGTCACGGGGTTACCTGCTCCTCTGCTTCCCCACTTTCTGTCCTTTGCCAAAAAGTGTCCTTGCATTCAGGTTGTTCTCCCCCTCCTTTCACTTCAGAGCAGCTGTATAATTCCCCTACCCCATCATTTTAGCCCTCACACCTGTCTGCCCAACAGTGAAAATGTTGTGAACTCGATATCACGGCAGCTTGGCTAATGCCTGTGGGAAGGGTTTATAAGTGACGGTGTGCAGCAGGCAGCTGTTGACAGGTGACAGTCAGGTTTGAGCATATTATGTTCCAGCTTACAGGCATCCATTTAGCTAAGTTCCCCCTGTGATTTCTGATATAAAATGGGTACTTTTATGCTGTTGGAAAAATCTGTTCCTTATTCAACAAATAATTATTGTCTTCCCTGATACTATCTAAAAAAGGGAGGAGGGTAAAATAAGGCATGGCAGTTAATTATTATTATCATAGTACTTCCCCTGTTTAGAATGACTAATATGGTGTTGCATTCATCTAACACTAATCCTTTGAGGCAAGACACTATTATTCCAAGTTTACAGATTGGGAACTGAGGCTGACTTTGTTGGTTGTCAACCAGGAAATTCCTGCAGGGTTTTGAACAAAGATCTTCCACAGTAAAGAAAGGGTTTCAGGAGAGAATGGTAATTTATAACCTCGCCCTGACAAGGAGAGGCACCTATGCGCTGCTGCTGCTGCTGCTGCTGCTGCTGCTGCTGCTTCTTCTTCTTCTTCTTCTTCTTCTTCTTCTTCTTCTAATTCCACTATTCCTTCCACATGAGCCCAAAGCAGCAAACACATAAATAAGAAAACAAAACAGTGAAATATCTTAGAACAATTGCAATACAGATGCAGACTGGGGAAGATCAAAAGGTTTGTTGGAAGAGGAATGTCTTCAGTAGCCAAAAAGACAACAGAGAGGGGTATCTGTCTAATATTCCAGGGGAGAGAATTTCAAAGACTGGGTGTCACAACACTAAAGGTGCAGTTCCTACATTGTGCAGAATGGACTTCCTGATAAGATGGTATATTCTGGAGGACCTCACTTGCAGAGTGCGGTGATCAGTTGGGTATATAAAGGATGAGATGATACTGCAGGTTTACACACCTTTACGCACCAAAGCCCAAATCAAAACAAACTTTTAGCAATTCTTAGCAATCCTGTGATGCAGGTTGGGTTGAGACAATGACGGGCCCAAGGTGACCCAGTGAACCTCACGCAGTTTTGTGCCTTATTTGTACCTCAATAAAAGATGGGCCACACTCAAAGGGTAAGGTGGCCAGATACAAAAGCAGACAGGGCTCCTTCCCCTTTAATATTTGTGTGCACAAGGGGAATACCAGCAGGTTCTGATTGCATGATAAAGTATACCTATTGAAATTCCCTCAGCAACACAACAGTTAAAGGGAGCCTTGTCTTCTTCAGAACCTGGCCACCTTATCAGAGGCTGAAAATCTACCAAGCAGAACAGTTGAAAAGGCACATCTGTGTATATATTTTTTTGTTTGGCTCCCCCCGCCCTTTCCTCGAGCAGCCGTGAAGGTTTTGCTTTGAACGGTGTCAGTCCTGGGAACTTGATAGTCTGGGCACCTGATGGGCTTTTCATTCTCTTCTTTGTGTCTAGTTGGGAGCAGGTGTGCACGCAGCTCCTTGCAACAATGTCTGCACAGGCAGCCCAATTATATTCTGGCGTTAAATGTGTCTAAGTAATAATGGGGTGGCAAGGGGAAGAATCCCATGCCCCCTGCTTTCCATCCACCAATCAATAACACTGCTTGCCATGGGTGAGAAGTGAACATTTGGATTGCATCTTCCTAGTTAAGATGGGCCGCTTTGGAAAAGTGACCCTGGGCCTTCTTTTTAACAGCAGTTTCTGCCAAGCAGAGATTAAGCAGGTGGTGCTTTTCCCACCACTCATCTCTGTGCTGGGAAAACTCTCACCTGCTACGTATTAGGTTGATGGCAAGGCTGTAAGAGCAGGACTAATAATGATACTAGAACCTTCTACATGAAGGCTAGGGTGGTGAGGTGGAAAAGACGACAGGGCACCTGAACTTTCAGTAGTTTTGGAGAAGAGATTTTAGCTGTTTGTACAACAACAAAGGCACAGGAGCCCTCTTGGAGCCAGGAGTTAGTAGCATGGCTTCTCCCCCCAAATCCTGAGAAATGTATTTGGTTAAGTGTGCTAGGAATTGTAGCTCTGTGAGGAGTAGACTACAGTTCCCAAATTTCGGTGGGGGTGTGTGTGTCATGGAGCCATGGCTGCTAAAGTGGCTACTAAATGTGTTTTAAAAGCACAGTGTGGATGTGAGCTTATACAGCAGTCTGCATCAAACTCGGAACCCAACTTTGTGCTCTCTACAAGGAAGAAAGACCAACTTGAATTCAATGAGCCTCATTCACAAGTAAGTGTGCATCCTCAGACCACTTATAGAACATAGATATTTTCCCATATTTGAGTGTAAATCATTGGGATGGAATGTATATTTGATTTCACAAGCTTTCTGTAATACATTAACCTCCACAAGCGAAAAATATGCTTAAAAGAGTCTGTACACATATACATAGAATCATACAATTAATTGTAGAGTTTGAAGAGACGACAAGGGTCATCAATTCCAACTCCCTGCAATGCAGGAATCATAGCTAAAAAATCCTTGATAGATGGCCATCTAATGTCAGTTTAAAACCCCCAATGAAGGAGAGACCACCACCTTCCAAGGTAATACTACTACTACTACTACTTTTATTATTTATACCCTGCCCATCTGGCTGGGTTTCCCCAGCCACTTTGGGTGGCTTACAGCATATATAAAACATAGTAAAATATCAAACATTAAAAACTTCCCAAAACAGGGGTGCCTTCAGATGTCTTCTAAAACTTATGTAGTTCTTTATCTCCTTGACATCTGAAGGGAGGGTGTTCCACAGGGAGGGTGCCACTACCGAGAAGGCCCTCTGCCTGATTCCATGGTTGAACAACTCTTATCCTCAGGAAGTTCTTCCTAACATTTAGTCCGAATCTCCTCTCTTGTAATTTGAATCCATTGGTTTGGGTCCTATCCTCTGGAGCAGCAGAAAACAAGTTTGCTACCTTACGAAAAAGAAAAAAGGGGTTGGGACCAAGCTTGCTCCATCTTCCATGCGACAGCCCTTCAGAAGATGACTATCATATCACCTCTCATTCCCGCCTTTTCCAGGTTAAACATACCCAGCTCCTTCAACCGTTCCTCATAAGGCTTGGTTCCCAGACCCTTGATGTTCCAGCTTGTCAGTACCCTTCTTAAACAGTGGTGCCCACATCTAGACACAGGATTTGAGGTGTGGTCTGACCAAGGCTGAATAGGGCAGTACTGTACTATTACTTCCCTTGGTCTGGATACTAAAGCAGTCTAGAATTGCATGTCATTCCATGGGCCCCAATTTAGGAGTTTCTTTCCCAGTATACTTTGGGTGTAAACTCTTTCTTTGGCCTTCTTGGCTCAGTTTTTTTTTTTTAAAAAAAGTCTTGATTCCCCACCCTCACACCATTTTGATTCAGGGTAAGTTTGCAAATCGTTGTGTTGTTGTTGTTGTTGTTGTAAAAACCCAACCCTTAACTTGGCTCCATAGTTGTCAACTTTTCCCTTTTCTTGCGAGGAATCCTATTCGGAATAAGGGAATTTCCCTTAAAAAAAGGAAAACGTTGACAGCTATGCTTGGCTCCAAACACTGGATGCTGCTGCGCTGCTGGATGCGCATTCCTAATGTAGAAGCATTGAATATAAACAATAGAATCGAAACCTGCGTAGAAACCTCGGCTTTCCGCACGCGCTTTGCATTGTTCCTGCCGGAAACTTTCCTCTGCGCGAGCACCCTCCTTCCTCTTCTTCTTCCTCCTCCTCGTCCCCTCCCGACCCCCTGCTGATATTTCCTTCTTTTTTTTTTTTTTAGGTGATTGAAGGGGGAGCCGGCACAGGCGCTTCCCCTTTAAATTCCAGCTGTGTGGCTAGGAAACAGCTCTTCTCGTTGCAAAGCGCTGGGCTGGGGCTGCTGGTGTGAGACTGTCCTTCCACTTCCTGGCTCCGGCAGCCGGGAGAAGATCTGATCGCCCCGCCGAGTCCTGGGGGAGAGAGAGAGGAAGGCAGAGGAAGGAAGGGGGCAGGCGGCGCGACTCCTCCAGACAGAGGGAGAGAGAGAGAGAGAGAAGGCAGCCACACAGCCGGGGGTACCTTTTGGCTCCGGTTTCTCGGCTGCCCTGGGATCGGTAGCCTTCGCGGCATGTGCAAGAGAAGGATGGAGGTGGCTGGTTTCTAAATCATCCTGAAGACTATTTCCATAGTAACCTGCCGAAGTGGTGCAATTTGAGCGGACTGAGGCTTTCTCTCCGCACTTCCAGGATGCTATCTGACAGGTAAGGCTTCCGGAGGACCTTTGGACCGCTGGTCGAGGGTCTATAAATATCCATATGTCTGTGTCTCAATTATCCTATGTTTCCAAAGTTGTCTTTAGAAAAAAATATCGCTTTTTCCCAATTTGATTTATTTACCTGTATTAAAGAAATGATGTAATTTCTGGGCTCCTAACCCTTCCTACATTTTTTTAAAAAAAAATAAAGACAGCTGGGGGGTGGGTGGGAATGGTTTTTTTTAATGCTTCAGTTCTTCCGTTATTGTCTTATAAAGAGAGGGATGTTGGTAAGCCTGAACGCACAGTCTTACTGAACGTTTTATTCTGTGGCGTCGGCGGCAGCGGCGTAGATTGTGGACTAGTGACTTTAGGGAGCCGGCTCTGCTTGCTGGCTGCTCCAGAGGCGTGTGCCGAGTAGCAGCACCTTTGGCCCAGGGCAGCCTTTGCAGGCGCCGGATTGATGGGCTGCGAGGGGCTTTTTGGCAGATGAGAGAGGGATGACGCTTCCTTACCTTCTTTGTTTGTCCCCTTACTACATATTCTTTCCTCCGCCCCATTTTCCAGTTCCTCTTCTCCCACCCCCTCTGTTTGTTTGCCGGTTTCTCTCCCCCCCCCGTTTTTGCTTCTTTTATTGGGGTGGGGGCGGGCGAAGGCGTAGGAGAGAGAAGCTGGAGAAAAAATGCATGATGTACTGTGCCTTAAAACCTGAAATCCGGAGAACACCCAAAAGCAAACGCCAATATTGTCATCCCTTCTCCCGCCCTGGCTGGCCTAAAGCAGGCGATCAGCACGTTTTCGGTACTTTATTGATCTTTTTTCTTTCTCGGGGATTGTAGGTGCAGATGCATGTTGTGTCTCTCCAGCAGTGCAAGGCAGGCTGCCGCCCCGCTTTGAGAGGCGAGACACTATTGTGGTGATCAGCGTTTTCTCTGGGAGATGGATGGCACCTTGATCTCTCCCCAAAGCAGTCATTTAAAAGGAGTTAACGCTGAACATCCATTCTCCCCTGTAAGACAAGAGGTTGGCAGCATTAGGGGTGTGTGGGCTGGAGAGACGGAGGAGGGAGGGTGAGGCTTGCTAGTGGCTGTATTTGAAGTGGGGAGAGTCAAAGCAGAAGCTGACAGTTTGGGTGTTAAAGTGTGTGTGTGTCTGCGCGCGCGCGCGTGTGTGAGAGAGGGAGGGAAGGAAGGAAAGCGGGGAGGGGAGGGGGCGAAAGTAGAAGAAAGCAGCCTGTTGTTAATTGCCTAGGTTACAGTTCCTGCATCCATGCCTGCCTGGACTCTTCCAAGTCCTAGTGCCTTCCCTGTTTCCAGGCTGTATGCATCAGGTACAGCTGGAGAGTTCTGTGGTCCTGGGTGGGTGTGTGGCAACAATCTGATTCTGAAAGGGAGTCTAGCACTCAGTTAAATTGAGATGTGGGCAAAATGTATCTCAATCTAGCATTGTGTATAGAATTTGACTAACTTCCTCTCTGGCAAAGGTATTGTGCTGTTAAAGGTTGCCCAAAAGGAAGAAGGTGGATCTTTACCCAACAATCCATTCCAGGCTTGGGATCTGCACATTTTCTGCTAATTTCTGCCTGTCAAGTTTCTGTTAAAGGTACAGGAATCCTACCATTAGAATGCTGACAACCCAGTGTGAATATGGTGGACCCTCATAACGTTGTTGGAAGCCCGACTTCCTCTATGATTTATATTATTTGGACTATTACTGGTGGAATTTTGGACACAACCTATATAGCTTGGCCTAAAGTATTCTGATTTGGGGTTGGAAGTAATGCACAAGCAGAAGTATTTCTAGGGTTGAGACGTGAGCACTTGGACTATTGTATTCTCATGTGACATTTTCCAGCTAGCAGGAGTGGCCAGTACTTTTTGCATTGGGGACTGGTAAAGCAGAAGGCAGGGAGGTCAACTGTAGGTGGAATCAGAGCCAACTAATTCTCGCATTGTCCCCATCTTCCTCCCTGCTGAGTTCTATAAGGGCAACACTGAGACTAAGAAGGAGGAAGCTAACAACGTAAGAAGAGCCTGCTTGATCAGGCCACTGGCCCAGCTCATCATCCACTTCTCACAGTGGACAACCAGATGCCTTTGAGAAAAGTATGACGGCAGAACAAGTGACAGGTGGCTGAGGGCAGGCTGAAGTTGGTGGGGCATTGGCCCATTTGCCTTAATAGACGATCCTCCATTGCCAACTAGAAATGACAAGCTGTTAAAAAATAGATAGTAATCTATGAGAGAGATGGATGGGTGTTGTAATGGTTCTAGGGGTTGCTTGTGCGTAAACCGGTGCTTATCTCCCCGGCTGGGTGCAAACACCTGGCTGGGTTGCCTAAGTGAACCTTTTCTGTCCGGATAGCCACTCACCCATGGCTGACTCAATCGCTGGCAGAATCCGTCAGTGGGCGTTTCTTAAACTTCTTCCAGCAAAGAAGCTCTTTGACGCCTAGTCTCCTCCTACTCTCTCTGCACGAAAGCCTTCTGCGCAAGGAGGGCATGGGCAACGGAGGACCCCTACTCTCCCTGCTGGTCCCAGGCAAGGAGTCATGGGACCGCCTCGCCGCTTCCCCCATCTGCCCCCCTTCTCCACTGGTGCTATGCTGATTCTCTTTCCCAGAAGATGGGCTGCTTCTCCCAATCCCTGGACGATCTCTGGAATCGCTCTGGCTTTTGCTCTCTCCCTCCAGCACTGATGGCAGTTCCCTGACAGGTGTGTAAATTACATATTGCTTAACACCCCACACCTGACGAGCAGTAGCAAGAATCCAGGTTCTGTTTCCATTGGAAAATCAAGGCACAGCCAAGTTGGCAGAGTCTTAGAAATATGGTTTATTCACACATGTTTACACCAGAAGCCTTCAATAGAGGGGGGTACGGAACATTACACCCCCAAGCGTCTCTCTCATTGCTCCTCTCATAGTTTCAGCAAGGTTGGGTCCAATGCAGCAGCCAATCATGGCCACTGGTCTTTCAGTGCAGCTTCGTAGAGCCAGCACTCTATGGGGTTCTCCCTACTCCCTATTTTCTCATGCTTGTTCGCTTGCCAAAAAGGGACAACTTTTTTTCTGGGTGACTCCACACCCATGTTTCCCAGGCAACCTTCCCCTCTGCCTTTGCCTTGTAGATGGCAGGGCCGTCATCTCTGTCTGGCTGAAAAAAAAATTCAGCCAGTCAGCTTTGATTAAATTCCGGTATCCCAGAATCTAGAGGGGGAAATCTTGCATCCAGGGATCTGGGGATCCCTGCTTCCACACTAACCCATAACACTTTATTGATTGATTGATTGATTTGATTTGATTTGATTTATATACCACTCTTCATCAAAAGATCTCAGGTTGGTTCACAAGATAAAACCATGAGATAAAGGCACAAATAAATTGTTAAAACAGAAACAACTAAACAATACCTCCTACAAACACACTTAAAAGGCTGTAGAATATTAATTGACCAAAGACCTGGTTGAAGAGGAAGGTTTTTGCCTGGCGCATAAAGGTGTATAATGAAGGTGCCAGGCAAGCCTCCTTGGGGAGAGCACACCACAAAAGGGGAGTCATTGCAGAAAAAGTCTGTTCCCATCCTCCAGACCTCACATGGAGGAGGCACATGAAGAAAGGCCTCAGAGTCCATATATATATATCAAATCTAGCCTTGCTCACCCTGGTAACTGTGGGGCTGATGTGATCCAGAAACATCTGGAGGACCGCAGGGTGGTGAAAGCTGCTATAATGGATAGCAGAGTGGACTGATTGAAAATGCCCCAACTGTTGTATTGATGGTGACAGGAAAGAGAGAAGTGCTTGTTTAAGGGGACCAATATATTGACCATAAACCTGTATTTGGAAGTTCATATCAAGTGCAGGTACCTAGAATGAAGTGCATTTACTTGATTAGCAACTAAGCCCGTGTCAACACTGTTCAGTGCTGATGCATTCCAATGTGACTTTGTGTGGCTTATTCCTGCTGCTGAAACACAGGGCCAGTTATGATGCTACTTAGTACTACTGCACAGAAACCATTTCTACAAGGCTCCATAATGCACTGGAATGTGAGGTCGGTTTTTTTGTAGGAAAATATGAAGCCATGTCTTATGCCCTTTGGACCTTCTGCAGGCAAAGCAAGTGATTTATAAATGGACCTATGGTCCATTTCCCACTTGTTTCAGTATCCTTGTAATAAGGAAGTGATAATTTCTATGTCACTATTTCATGCTTTTGTGTTTGGGAAAAACAATATATGTATGGGTGTTGGTGTAAAGGCAGCAATCTATTTGCAGAATTGTTGCATAAATAGATGTTGAATTTCTGGAAAAGAGCCCTGGGGCTCTTTAAGAAGCTTGCTTGACAAAGTGCTCAGATACCAGTAACATAACAAATAACATAATTTGTAATCATGATAATATTACTGGAGAATGAATGGTGCACGTGAAATTTTAACATTCCAAAGAAGGACCCCATAGCCTACTAGTACCTATATGCAGATTTGAAGGAAAAAAAGGCAATTTTTGGTGGCACAAGCTGTCTTGGGCTAGAGTTTGCATCACCACATGCATCATTCTTGGCAATCTATGAAGATTTATGCAATAATACATTTGCATAATGTGGTGGACTATTGTTTCATTTCACCTGCAAGCCCTGGCTGGTTGGCTACCCCTGGCCGCTGTAGAATCTCTGTATTTAATAAGATGATTCCATAATAGTAACTTCAGGCTGCAATGTCTCATTGCCATTCAGCTACATAGAATCACAGCTATTCTTTAACCAAAATGCCAAGGAAACGAGAAGTAAGCGGCTGTTTCATCAAGGAGATAGTCATCACTGCTAATGGACTCCAGTGAGAGACTTCTAGGCGGGTTTTACTAAAATAATAATTTTAAAAGACTTGCAGGATCCAAAAAGGAAATACATGCCCCAGCATGCATTTGGATAAGGTCATTTATCACTTCCTTCTTAGCATAATTAATTATCCAGTTTATTTTATCAGCTTTTAATGAGGGTGAACTGCTGAAGGATTAGAAAACATGCTTTCAAAAAGTAGTAATTTTATGCCTCCCTTCTCCATTCAATAAACAAAAATGTGTGTGTGTGTAGTACAAATAAGAGACTCATCATTATCTATTTTTAATGGCTTATCTCATGGGCTCTCTAAAGAAAAAAACACAATGAAATGTAAGCATTACTGTCAGGAGTCTAGTATACCTGTTACATCTTGGAACTGGTCTTCGTAAACTCCAGAAGAGCCCAGAGCCACCATCCCTGCCAAGTCCATGGGGCTTTGAATCTTTTCAGCAATACTGATTCCTAAAGCTAACTTAATGAGTTTTATGCCATTGCCCTGATAATAAGGGTGTGTGTGTGGATGGACTGATAATCTGTCTACATTGTGTTAGCTAATTCTGATGATATTAAGGTAATCACTGATTGTTACTGGAGATACACTGAGGAACTTTTAGGCATTCATAATAGAAACTGATACT